TGGGGTCGCGGCGCGCCGCCCGGGGGGGGGGGGGGGGGCTCGAAGTTGTGATCCAGTTGCGTGTGGCCGCGGAACGGGAGCTGCTCCGCTCCGGGGAGGACGCGGGCCTTGCACCCTGCTCGGTTTTCGCGTGGCTGTTGCGATACTTAGAAATAAGCCGCGTTTGAAAAATCCTGCCTCCGTCTGCCGCAGGGCGCCCGCGCGGCTCGGGTGCACAAAAGCCCCCGCGGGGGGAGGGGCCTGGAGCTCTGGGAGGCGAGAGAGGTGCCTCGGTTTAATCCTCGAAAGGGATGGGGAGGACGCGGGCCTTGCACCCTGCTCGGTTTTCGCGTGGCTGTTGCGATACTTAGAAATAAGCCGCGTTTGAAAAATCCTGCCTCCGTCTGCCGCAGGGCGCCCGCGCGGCTCGGGTGCACAAAAGCCCCCGCGGGGGGAGGGGCCTGGAGCTCTGGGAGGCGAGAGAGGTGCCTCGGTTTAATCCTCGAAAGGGATAGTGCGAGGAAGTTGCCCGGCAGAAACGCCCTGTGCAAACGCGTGGTACGTATCCTGCTCTCTCCCCGGCGTTAGAAAGCGTGGTACCGTGTGCTCCGCTTCACGTTTCTGGCTTCGGGGTTATTTCGAGGCGTTGTAGTGACAGGTCAGAGTCTGCCCATGCTGATTATTAACTTGATGGGGGATAGGAGGCAATAACGAGGGAAAAAATCGCAGGGCAAGATAACTTTCCTCCATAACCTTAAGGCTGCAGATCCTTCCTCTTCCATGTCCTCATGGAGCTTTGGAACAGGTCTTCTGTTTGTGGCACCGCTTTAGGAAAGGTGGGTTTTGTTACTTGCACTTCTGTTAAAATTCTCTTGCGGTCCGCGCGTGCATTTTGTAAAATTATCTTGCAGGGTGTGTAGTGAAAAGGCTGCAGCACGTTGAATGCGAGAAAACTGATTAAAAGTGAAAGAAGAATGCAAACAGCCAACTATAGGGTGAAAAGTAAAAGGGCTTCTAAAACTCTTTCGGTTTTATTGAGGCAACAACATTTTTGGCTTAATACTTTCTTTTGGCAATTTGACAAAGCAGCAGCAGACTGAGACACTTGTGTATGCTCCCGTTTAGGGTGGACAGGCAATGACCGGAAGGTGGGGCAGGAGCCATCAGGGCCAACTCTCTCCCTCTCTGGTCCCAATGGGGGGGGCAACTGACGTGCTGGCCAGGGGCTCTGGAAAAATGATGTGTGAAGAAAAATACACCCCCCCCCCCAACCTGCACTGCTTTACCACCCGTGCTCCAGCTGGGAAGTGGGCTCAGGGGCTTGCGCCAATCCATGTGGTACTCATTCTGGGGAGTGGGGTCAGAGAAGTGGGGCTTCCCCAACTCCAGCAGGGTTTGGGCCATGGTGGCTTGCCCCACTCCAGCATTCCAGCTGGAAAGTGGGAGTCAGGGGCTTGCAAGCCCCCATTCCCTTATCTCACTCCTTGGCAAGAGAGTCAGGTGGGAGGAGTTGAGTAAGCAATGGGACAGGAGATGAGCTGGGCTGGGGGTGGGCCTGGATGGTAAGGGGGTAAGCCAAGGCCCACTCAGGCTTACCTCTGACTACACCACTGTAACAGCCTCTTCAGGGCCTGAAACTGTTCTTCTAGCCTGTGCATATTCTGCCACTGACTTACTAGATGAGTCTGTGATAGGGGATTTGTTGAACTTTCCTGTAATACAGTGGTTCCCAAACTTTTTGGCATCATGCCCCCTTTTCGATTTTTTTTTAAGAAACCCTCACTCCCCCCTTCCCCCCCCCCCAAAAAAGCAGCAAAACTTGTTGAGCAAAAAAATAAAAAGGAACTAACTGGGTCCAAAAAACAACAAAAATAGCAGCAAAATTTGGGGGAGGAACATGGGTCACCTCGTGCCCCCCCTGGAATTTCTTCACGCCCCCCAGTTTGGGAACCCATGCTATAATAGATTGGAACAAAATCTTTCTCTTTTTTTAAAAAATCAGGCTGTTTGAGCAAGCCACAGTGTCTCAGAAAAGTGAATTGAATTGCAAGCTAGAATGGTTCATGTAGTGTGCTTTAAAAAGAGGCTCATTTTAAAAGGAGATGGTCAACTTTAATAAAACAAAAAAACCTCTTATTTTAAACAGTTTAGGATTTAACAATCTCTAAATCGTAGGACAAGAAACTTAATGGAAACAAGAGACACTGTCAGCTTGGATCAGGGGCAGAAGGAGCCTAATCTCTCTGAAATTGTACCTGCTATTACATTTAACTGAAGAAAGTTAATGAGCAGAAAATTTCTCCGTTTTTCAGCTTGTGTACTCTGTATTTGACAGCATTTTGGCCCCAGTCTTGGAATCAGATCCATCTAGGCAATCTTGCACTCACATGGATTCAGTATGAAAGTTTCAGTTCCTCCTCCATCTGTGTAGTCTGGTAACGAGGGAGAAATGGAAAAATATATTTATAAAAGGATCCAGTTACACAATTCAGGCCCAAATGCTGTCGAATGTACAAAGTAAACAAGCAGAAAAATGGAGAATTTTTCTGTTCATTTAACTTCTTGCAGTTAATGTAATTTTAGGCTAATAATAGTAGGTATATCTCAGTAAGAGTTAGCTTTCCTCTCACATTCTTCTCTCCCTCTTCCCCCCGCCTTCCCCCCTCAGTGTCTCTCACTCCCTTTTTAGTTTCTTGACCTACTGTTTATGTAAGCCACTAGATCTTGGTCCTGTATGTCCAGTGTTTAGTTTGTCTGGTTGGGAGGCTTTTGGGGGTGTGAATTGAAACTGTAGACAACCCCAATGTTATGATACCACTACAAGAACCTGAATAAATATTGGTGCCAAGTGACAGCAACAGACATTTAAGAGGTATGGAATGACTAAATGCAGGGCAATTGCTGTTTATGTAAGCCACTAGATCTTGGTCCTGTATGTCCAGTGTTTAGTTTGTCTGGTTGGGAGGCTTTTGGGGGTGTGAATTGAAACTGTAGACAACCCCAATGTTATGATACCACTACAAGAACCTGAATAAATATTGGTGCCAAGTGACAGCAACAGACATTTAAGAGGTATGGAATGACTAAATGCAGGGCAATTGAAAGTGGCTGAGTAGGCCTTCTACAAAGCTTTAAGAAAATAGTGGCCCCTGTATTGCTTTCCTAGCCTTCCTTCTGAAAGACACTAAGGGCTTGTGTACACTTCAGGTATAAATCATTTAAGTTATGCAACTTCAGCAATGTGAATAGCCAAGCTGAAGTTAAATGTACTCGGGGTCTATTTATGGTGGTATCTTTGCAATAGTGTGTCGATGGAAGATGTTCTCCTGTCAACTCCCCTTGTGCTTTTCGTTGAGGTCGATTATTAGAGTCAGTGGGACAGCGATTGGTCGTTGATTTATTGCATCTATGCTAAATCGACCCCTGTTGAATCGATTATTGCCCTGTTGATCCGGCCTGTAATGTAGACCTGTCCTGAATCTCTCTTCCTCAGAAGCCTGTTCTGTATCAACTTGGGGAAGAGTGCAGACAATATAGGCGTGGCTAAGCCTATCTTCCACACAAGGGAGGATTTGCATGCAGGGATTCTGTGCAGATGTGGTGGGCAACACTCTAAACCTCTGAGATTAATATTGTTTAGCAGTCAGATGGGGAAAGTGGTGGTACTCTCCAAACTCCACCCACAAAACAAGCCTCACTCCCGGCTGATAGCAGATAAAACAGTTGCTATATGTGATCATGCACATTCTGGGGTCCTATGGCTCAGCTCCCCCTCGGTAGGATCCAAAAACACAAATGGGTCCTTCTGAGCATCTCATGCTTAGTTTCCCTTTTATGGGCCTTGGGTTTGACTCGTTAGTTGGAGGAAAAGCTGAGGTGCTCCCCCCAGTCCATTCACTTGTGGATCTAAAATGACCTGTTGCTTGATGGACTGCACAGCTCATTGTAGTAAAATCCTCATTCTCATTTCTTATACCTCTTGTTGAGATGTGGAATAATTAGTTCTTTAAATGTTAACATTTATTGAGTTAGTCCCCACTGAGATCATAGAACCATAGTGCTGGAAGAGAGCTCAGAAGGTCATCGAGTCCAAAGCAGCACCAATCCCAACATGAGATGAATGGGACTGTTCACCCATTTAAAACTGGGCAAACAAAGACAAACATCACTATATCTGTTACACTTAGTTCACGTCTTTGAAGCTGTCTCAGTGACTAAAAGGTAAATCTCTAGCTGTTAAAACTGAAAGCTTAGATTCTGAAGAATAAGAGGCAGCATGAAACACGTGCTGGTAAGCTGCACCAGCGTATACTGGCTAAATCTGAGGACTGATTTCCCCCTCCCCCAAAATATTAGAATCCCATCAGCAGTCAAAAGAAGTCTTATTCCATACCTTAGATTTTCCCTAAGGCACCTGTCATTGTGGTATGTAATTAATGTACAGCAATTAAAGGTAGAAACTAATATTACCTTAATACTGTAGTAATGCTCTCACTTCCTAAATCAATGTGACAGTCCACTGGCAAAATCTGCTGCAAGGTATTCACTAGTCATCCATATTTTAAGGAGCTAGTTTATTTAAAGTTTTAAGATGTGTGTACTTTAAAATTACTGAATCTGTTCATTTTCAACTTGTTTAAAGTCAAACCACAAGTGGGTAAACAATTTGAGTGGTGGTGTGTGTTTAAAATAACAGTTGAAATTAGAGTCAGCATGTCCTGGCTTTTAATAGGCAGATTTCTGCCACATTATAGGTAGCTAGTTTAACTAACAATGCTAGCCTCCATAGTTGGTCTGACCTGGCAAAAAGGCTTTTTTTAATAGCAGAGGATTACCACAAGGAAGTAAAGTATATATGGCTGAAAATATAAAGCATTGGAAAAATAGGTGCATGGTGACTTGTCTCCCTTAGGATCCAGGATTTAGGATTTATTACACAAATAACGTTATCTCCAATTTTATAATGCCAAAGCAGACTAATTGCAGGATTATGTCCCGTATTGCTTTATACGGGAAAACCTCAAGCCTTATTATCTGTTTATACTGGTTTTTAATATAGGCTATGATGCTTCAGATTTGCACTAAAAAGGGTTATCTACAGTATGTGATTGTCCAAACGAGCTGTTACTGTATGTCAAACTATAGTGTAAAGCTAGAGTGCTCTAGCATCCTGTGCATGTCTTGTCCATGTGACACTGGCTACTCTATCACACACTAAAAGTTTCCTAGTGCACACTGCCCTACTAACTGCAATATGTCAATGCACAATTGAGAACTTCTAGTACATGGTAGGAAGGTCCAATTAGTGTGTGGCATGCTGGAGTTCTGTAGACTTGTGCCTCAGCTTGCTGCACTCTACCTGCTCCTTTAGAAATGCATGTGGTTTTGGGTGCATGAATCTATCCACGTGGATCAAATGGCAGGCTTGGCTTTTGCATTTTACTCCCACGTGAGCAATTAAGTTAGAATTACAAAGTGAAACTGATCAGACTAATTTAAAACTACCATGTGACTTAGGTTCTCAGGACACTAGGGAAATGTTTGAACATTTAAATATTTACACTTAATGTAGAAAAACAATTCCCAACATACTGGGTTTTACAGAACCTAGACTTTGTCATACATGACTTCCTCTTGCAGCTCTTCTCTCAGGGTACATCTAGACTACATGCTTCTTTCGAAAGAAGCTTTTTCAAAAGAATCTTTCGAAAAAGCTTCTTTCGAAAGATTGTCTAGAAAGCCACAACTTTTTTCGAAAAAGCGATTCTCTCTTTCAAAAAGAGAGCACTCAGGCAATCTGGATGCTCTCTTTCGAAAAAGCCCTGTTTGCAGTCAA